AGAGTAAACGCACGGCGCCACGTCCCAGTGCTTCACGTTTTCTTTGTGCCGAAAATATGCGCAGCTCCTTGCGCTCCTCATCGCTTAGTGATTGACAGTAGCGCACCTACAACAAAAACGAAGCAATAATAGAAATACGGTGATGTCAGTAGGTGTGTGGAAAAGGATGAGCATCCGAAAATTGTAGTAAATTTTAATTAAAAATACACTTGCACGTCCTCAACGCTCGCGACAATGCAGTCAAAGTTGAAGACAAAGGCGAAGGCGAAGGCGCAGTCCAAGTGGCAGACGAAGTAACAAATAAAAAGTCAAAGTTTTTTAATCTTACAAGTGAAAAGGAAAAGTTTCGAGAGTTTTAATTTTCACGTTTGCACAATACTTTTCAACTACTGCCGCGGCTCCTCCATAAATAGCCAGCTCTTTTTTCAATTTAATATCTGTTCAGACACAATGCCACTTTGGATTTCTATTGTCGAAAGCCACAGTCATTTTCAGTTGCTTCGCAACTTCGCTGCTGTTTTGTAACCAATTTGTTCTTTTTCTTAACTTCGAATGCCTTTTCGATCTACCGACCTTTTCTTAAATTTTGCAGAGTAGGGAGTGTCGCATTTGTGTTCACTCACCTCGTTATCTTGTGGCGGCAATTGATGCAGTAACTGCTTGACGCGATACTTTTCGCCGGCACTGTTAACGTACGGTACTTTATCGTCAGGTAGTTGTGAGAAATATAAACGGACCTGGAAATTGAGAAGATTCAAAAAATAGTGAAACTATTTAGGTGTATGTAAATATTTTTATTAATAATAAAGCAATTAAATTTTTTTCTTCCACTTGAGATCGAACCGACCCGCCAAAAAGATGTTATGATGCACAAAAAATAAAATCTTGAAAAACAATGTCGCTAACATCTTTTTGGCAATTAGGGCTCGATTTCATTATGGAGCACATGCCAGCTTTTCTACTGCTATGTTCACAGCACTTTCGAAGCGCAAAAGTATTGAATATTTATGGCTCCACTCAATACTGGATACAAAACCACTTAGTACTTATGACTTGATTAAGTGCTAAATACTTGAAAGTTGCTTAGTCTAAAAGTAAAGAATTTCGGGATTTTCGAGACTATTTCCGGATTTCCGACACTATTTTGGGGTTTTCGTGACTGCTTCAATGTGTTTAGGATTTCCGAAAGTATACCGAGATTTCAGAAACTATTTCGTTATTTTCAAAGCCTATTTCAGGATTTCAGGATTCTAAGGGACTATTTCGGGAATTTTGAGACTTCTTCTTGATTTCAGGACTATATTGGAATCCCAGAAACTTCTTCGGAGGTTTCGGGACTACTTCGGGATTATCGGAACGATTGCAGAATTATTAGGAGTCCAGGAACTATTTCGAGATTTTCCAGATTACTTCAAGGTTTCGAGCATTGCGGGGATTATCGGGACTATTTCGAGATTTTCGAGACTGCTTTGAGATTCTAAGGTTTCTAGGGACTATTTGCTTTTTTTTCGAGACTACATTCATCTATAAATATATCAATAGTATTATATCGATAAAGATATCGACAACAAAGTCGAAAAATATAACGATCGCAAAATCGATAAATTTGTTCGTAAATATATCGACATCAACATCGATTATTATAACGAAAAATCCGATATTGTTCCAAAATCTTGAAATAGTCCCGGGAATCCCGAAGTATTCTCGAAAATCTTGAAAATCCTGATTAAGTACCGAGAGTTCCGAAATTCTCTAAAATCTCGAATTAGTTCCCAAATTGTGGTGAGGCGAGTTGAGGCGAGTTGAGGCGTGGTGTGATGAGCACGGTTGGCACTTTTGTACAATTGTACCAAATATAGGCCTTTTTTCTCCGTTTGGGCCTGTGGGCCTTTTTTGTTTGTTTTGGGCCTATTGGAAGCACGTTTGTTTGAATAAGCAGCACTCACAGTTTCAAAATTTACACAAAATTTTACAAATTTTCATCAAAATTTAAACTTTTTGATCTGAATCTTTAGAGAATTGCAAGTTTTTACCGCCTAAAAAATCGCGTTGGTTTTTTAAATTTTTGTTTGGAGGCTAACTCATCACTTCTTAGAGTCACTCTATATATTTTTGTTGGACGGAAAAAAGTGGTACATTTTGTTTTATTTAGGTCCTTTTTACTTGAATATTGTGGTATACAAAATTTTGATGAAATGGCAACCGTGGTGATGAGTTCAGCTGTGGTGAATTTGGGTCTGGTAGGAGCAGGTGCGGTGAGTTCAAGTCGTGGCGTGGTTTATTTGTATATGTGTCTATCTACTAAAAACCTCAGTACTTTAGTGGAAGTATTTTGCATCTCCTGGGTACTGAGTACATTAGACCAGGGTATTTTACTTTAGTAAATATCTAACAGATCCTAAATACCCAACCAGCTCCTAAATACGTAATTATTTGCTACTTTAGTATTTACCAACTCCTAAATATCAAAATACTTTTTAATTGAATATTTAGCAATTCCCAAATACGAAAGTTTTTTACACTTGAATATTGAGATATGCGTTCCTCAGAAAGCCGCATAAAAAAAGTCCGCATAAAAAAGTTCTTTACTTTCATACAAAAACAGGGGATGCGTCCCAGCATATTCGAAAACCGCATAAGTTCAGATACTCCATGTGAAAAATTATAAAAAACCACTTAAAAAATCCAGTGAGCAAAAAAAATCAATTTATTTCTTCTTTTTCCCCGAACCGGTTCACTTTTCACTTTTGGTTTCCATGTACATATTTACTATGGGCGGTATAAATATCCGGGTGAAACTCTTGATAAGGCCGACTATTCTATGTAAAACTGAACATTAATGAAATAAGAAAAATTGTATATGTGTTTTAATTTAATTTTAATTAAAATAAATACATGAATTATGTAAGAATATAAAGATAAATTATTTATCAAAGCATTGTCTCTTACATACTGAAAAAAAGTAATAAAACCTCTCAAAAAAGCAAAATCGCTACTGCAAAAAATTGTTAAAAAAAAACCGCATAAAAAGAGACCTAAGTGTATTTGAGTATTTAGTACCCAAACTTTACAAAAGCACTTGGGTGTGCCCATCACTGATATGCACATATGTATGTACTTAAGTGTGGGCCTTATTTGTAGCGAGACAATTTTTTTGTAAGCAACAAAGCAGGTCTCGCCCTGTTTTGGGAAGAATTTTCTACATACACTAATTCATTAAATTTTACATAAAATAAGAATAAGAGCTTATTAGTCTCGTATCACTCAGTGGATCCCAAATAAAACCACGTCATTTTCATATCACTTCAGGTCTGGAAGTCATAGCCAGGGTGTCTAGATTAGGGATGGTAATTTTTCGGCTTTTTACGATCTTTTACGATTTTCGGGAAGGCGTTGCCACTATCCCGGGATGCCGGAATTAGTCCCGATATTTAGATATTCATTACTTTTCAACAACTTGAATACAACTTGAACCGAAAAAGTTGCTTTTATATTGTTTTAGAAGCTCTCCTATCATGAAATAAATAATAATATATGGGTTTGAAACCTACTTTTTTATTTAAAGTGACGTTTTTATTTTTTCTCTATGACCGCAGGATTTATTTTGAAGAACTTTGTAATTTCAAAGATATGATTAATTCCGAAAATTGTCAAAAAAAATTCAATGCAATGTAGAATATAAATATGGGTAACAAATTCAATAGGAAATTTCTTTAGAATTTAAAAAAAAAAATTGCCAAAAATCGCCAATTTTTTTCTAATAAAATTCATGAAATCGATTTAACAAATCTTTTATTTAAAAAATGAGATCTTGTTATAATATAGTTTCTAAAACCAAACACGAATATAATACCTTCAGAGGGTAATAATATATAACACAAATTACTTATATAATAGTGATGTACAAACACTTTTCTTTAAAAATACGCATACTTTTAGAAAATATTTCCTTTAGCACATTCTGCAATAGTAGTGCGCAATTGTTAAACTTAGTTCGTTTTAAAATTTTCTTATTATTAAATCTTCCGTAAAACTACTGTGGAAAACTAAGTTTTGTATATTTTTGTAATTGGAAAAAATTTATTTGAAGAGAAAAAATCGCCAAAAATCGCGAATGGCGATTTCCTAATTTTTACGCGCAACTATACAAAAAAAATTGCCAAATTGGCGCGAAATCGTCAAATCTGGACACTCTGGTCATAGGGACTTTTAGGCGTAACATTAGGGCTTTCCTTTATCCAATTTAGAAAATTCTTCGCAGAACACATTTTTATAACCAAATGTGCCTGTCGAGGGAAAGTTTTGTTTTGTGAGTTAAATTAAAAAAAAAAACTGTAAGGCTATCGGAAGCTATTATTAATGCTAAACACTGCCGAGACCTCAACCTCTACGACATTTGATCGTATTTAATTTCTGCTGAACAATTTTTAAAAAACTAAAAATATTGTCGAACCTTTTAAATTGGCTCGATTAAACTATTAATCAATGGTCATATTATTACCACGACAATTTTCCTCGCAGTGCTTTCATTTAACATGATACCGCCAAACTTCCTCAATGTATAATAAATCGTTTCACTTTCGTTCCCACTCATGAACCATCGCACAAACGAGAAGGCAGCCAAATAACAGTGAAATTAATCGAAATATACACGCAATCAAAATACTTTCACCCTCCGAACAAGGAAGCCAATTCGCCACAGCAGCAGTGCGTCTATGCAATTAACTCTATTTTGGTCAATTCCAACCAGGTTTAATAGGCTGACAACACTCTAGCAGCAGCGGCAGCAAAATATATCGGTGACTGCCAACTATGCATTTGGTTCAAAAAGTCAGTGCACTACTTGCACTCACGTACTCCACCATACATTACATATGTGGCTATGTATGTGCTTAGATCACAGCTGCACGCCGCCATGAAACAAAAACCCAACTACGATCTGCTGCACCCAAGGCACCCGTTTGCTTGATATGTCATCTGTCTTTCTCCTCCTGGCCAGGTGATTCCTGTTGCGCAGCATGCAAGGCCCATATCGCACATGATCTTCAAAAGTGACACACCTCAAAATTTTGCAATTTTGAAACTATGCCCTAAAAATGTACACAGAGCCTTTATTTACCTTTTATTAGAAAAAGCAGGAGTAAATTTTTGTTATAAGTAATTTGTTGAAAAAAATCTAAGGTAAAGCATGTGATAAGAAATAGTTTTTTGCATTTTCTGGCGAACGTGTAATTTTGAGTTGTGTCACTTTTGAAGCTCGTGTGCGATATGTACAATGTCCGTCTGTTGTGTGTGTGTTCGTATTTGGCTCTCAACAGGCCATCGCCGCCAAACTTTTCCGTTGGTATGTTTGAACTTTTGTCGCACTATTGCGCGAGCTCTAATCTCCACAGATTTTACGCCACTGCAGATTAGCAGGGGGGCCATTGATACTCATATAAGATGAATGTTTACAACAAAACTACTCCCAGCTTCAAAGTCACACCACCAACGAAAAAGGATTGAAATGAGCAAAAAATTTCCCAAAAAATGTTATTAATTGCAGTTGTCCGCAGTCGGAAAATGTCGCTCAAATCACGCTGGAAAACTAAATTAAATGGAGTGGTTGACATCAATCGCTTGTTTGGTCTGCCGAACTGAATTTTTTACAAATGAGAAGGCATGTACGCAGGCATCTTTGAGTGCTGTAGAAACGACATTTCCGTCATCACTGGAAGCAGGTGCGGAATTACGCCAA